CAACAGCTACCCAACAATAGTTACTTTGAGCCAAAAAGAAAAAAAAAGGATTTCATATCATCCTTATCGATTAAATTCAACTGATCTTTATTTATAAAGCGACTTTAAACAACCGCTGCTGCCACAAAGGGCTGCAAATATCAGGTCAAACTGAACAAAACTACATTGAACTTTAAAATAAATGAATTAAAACAAATAAAAAACAACCAGTAATGCAAAAACAGAGCAAGTCTTTTTTTATTTGGTTTTAATTAATTTATTTTATTAAATCTGTCTTATTCCTTTAAACTTCTATGTTGTTTGAAAGGAACTCTCCGTTTTTCTTTTTTCATGCTGCAAAAAAGATCTAGAAATGAATCGAAATGTCTTAAATTAAGTGTATTTAGTGTAATTTGAGCAGGTAAATAAGATTATTTGCCAACAGAATGAGTATTTTACTCATTTAATTAGATATATGCACTAGATATAAGACATCACAATTTTTTTTTTCTCTTATCAATGGTAAATTGTCTTGTTTTATTGGCAAAGTGTCTCACTTATCTCCTCAATTTAAGAAAAAATGAGGAGAAACGATCCAGAGATTCATGCAAGGGAAATATTAGCTACATCAGACCTTATCTGACGTGTTTCCATCTTATGAACATTTAGTTTTAAATGTTTCTAAATCATTATAAAAAACCTTTTAAACTAGTTTAGGAAGCAGATTTTTGTTGTTTCTATTCAGCTCTTCTGATGCAATGCTTCCAAAACGTTGATGGGAACAGGACTGGGCCGGTTTTATCCGGTTGGTGTTCAAAGGCAGCAGGAAGCCTCTGATGGAGCAACAGCTGCAATCTGGACTTGCTTAACTAAAGTTCTGCTTTATCTCTACAGGAGGAAACCGAATCCGCACGGTGGGAGGGGACACTCACGTTGCCACGGTGATGAGAAGCATGTAGACGGCTCTGAAGACCACGTAGGAGCTGTAGCACACCCAGATGTTTTTATCCGGCAGCGTCATGACGAACACGCAGGCGGCCATGAGCAGGGAGAGGATCCAGAGGAGCAGCTCCCCCCAGCGGGCCCAGGACACGGGGAGGCAGCCCACCAGCAGCGCAGCCAGGGCGCCTGTGGGACAACACGGTTCTGACATCATGAAGCAGGAACTGGGAGGTCAGAGCTGCTGCTCTGCTAAAAACAGAACCTCACAGCAACAGCCGGGCACGGAGGTGGCAGTGTGATGGTCCGAGGCTGCCTGGAAGCTTCCAGAAATTCTTCAAGGAGATTTATATCTTATTTTATCTTATTGATCTGGAAAAAGTGCAGCATTTTCTACCCATAAGCATGATTAAAAACAAGGAATAATCAATGGATGATTATTTAGACCCAAAACTAATACGATTTAATGTTAATCAGTAAAAATAATGTTAAGAATAGTTTTCATTGCGATCACAGAGTCCAGAAGCTGACATTTTTGCCCAAATATAGTAACACCTCCCTCTGTTTAGCACCAAAACACTTTTTTTTAACACATTGAATTCCTTACACTGAATTCTTATATGCTGAAAATTTTGAAGCTGCAAAAAAAATAAAAAATACACAGAATTTTTATCTGGTGAAAATCCAGCTGCAAAAAATTCCGCTACAAAAGAAATTGTCTGCAAAAACAAAGAATATAAGTAGACTGAATCTCTAACCCTAACCCACCTGCAAACGTGTTGACCCTCTGGTGAACCCAAGCCAAAGCAATCAACACTCGATGCAGTCGAGCAGCTTGTAGCCAATGAAATGAGCTCATTTGGTCAAAAAAATAAAAACTTTGCCACCGGCCGCTTCTTCCGGATCAAACCAAGAGCCTTGGCAGACGGGGGTGCCGCACTAACTTTGATCGGCTCAGTTATTTCAACCAGTCCCATTACAGGCTTCCTACCGCATGAGGCAAGTTAAATTCCAGACTTTTTAAGACTTTTTAATGCCACTCGAAATAAAATTTAAGACCAAATTTACAAGAAACACAAGAAAACCTGCTTGAGACAACTTAACCCAAAGGTTTATTTTAACATAAACCACTGCACTAATGTTTCACATGTT